CGGCCGCCGCGCCGCCACCACCACCACCACCCTGCAGGAGTCCAGGAGAGATGTGGGGCCACCCGCAGGAACTCCACCCCGGCGTGGGGCCACTCTACCTGTCTGAGCTGGTCCAGCTTCTTCAGCTCCTCGTTGTAGGTGTCGGGGTTCTCCCCGTAATTCTTCAGGACAAACTGCGAATGGAAATATGAAATGATGAACTTCGTCCTATAGACAACCCCGCCCATCCCATCGTTCAGGGCCTACCAACCGCTTCTTACACACTACACGCCTCCCCACCCGCCCAGCCAGGGCAGGGAGAGGGTCACGTGTCCCCGCACAGACTGCTGGGAGGAGGAGTCGCTTCTTCGGAGGGGAGCGCCATCCAACCACACCCGCTGCGGTGACGTCACACAATCTGTGTCTGCTGATTCGGGGAAACTACCAATCCCGACAGCCTTCGGGAAGGGAGGGGCCTGAGGTGACTGTGTTTGGTCAGCTGATCATGGCTTGCGCTGACACATCACCATGGCAACCCTGAGTCATTGAGCGGTCCCTCAGAGCTGACAGCAGAGGGCGGCCAGGTACAGAAAAATCTGAGGAGTGTCTGTTATTCCTCCGCACATGGCGGTGACATGCTATCTCTGCTCTGGAGAAATGTTCAGCTTGTTTAATAGGGATATATATCGCAGTGATAAGCAGCACAGCAAAGGGAAAAGCGGGGGAAGGCTTTTCAGGATGCACACAGACATCCGAGGGAGGAATCCTGTCACGCAGGGGTCATAAATCATTCCTGTGCCATGTTCACACTATGTAGCACAGGAATGCACTGCGGGGCCATAGAGGTAAATCAAGTGTCAGTTTGTGTCATTTCAATAAAGTTTTAGAAAAGTTAACAGTGTGATGCGTTGTAACAACGCGTGGGTCCCCCGCCAGTGTACACGCATTTTAGCAGTGCGGGCCGATGTGACAGGCTCTCTGGAAGATAAACTTTACCCTTCGATTTAGGCCAGGACCAGATCTGGAACGCGGTGCATTGCGTTTTGCCGCGTTTTTACTGCGATTTCGCCGCGTTCCGGAGCTGTTTTTTAGCTTAAAATGGGCTTTTAGGTGCGTTCCAGACCAGACAAAATGAGGGCCCATTCACACCAATTGCGGTGTGTTCCAGAGCGGCAGTGGATCAGAACGCAGGCAGTGTTTTGCCACGCATCCGATCGCTCGGGTCGGGGGTGGCTGCGTTGCCATTGACTTCACTGCATCGCCACGCCCCCTCCCGCCCCAGAACGGAAGGGGGAGTTTAGTGGGCGAGTGCTGTGCGTCTGCAATTGATGTGAATGGGCCCTGAGACACGCCGTATTTTTCTGGTCTGGAACGGACTGCGCCGGTGTGAACAGAGGCCAGAAATAGCATAGGGATACATTGGGATGCATTTTGGGTCCGGAAACAATCTGGTCTGGAGATGATCTGGATGTGGTGTGAATGAGCCCTTAATGTCTCCTAAAACAGACTGTCAGGGTTGTGTGTGCTTATATCAGCTCTCAACCAAACTTTCAAGCCCTCAACTGGAACCACCAGTGACCTTTACCACCATACAGGGGACCACCAGTGACTTCTACCGCCCTACAGGAGGCCACCAGAGCCTGCCTCCACCCTACAGGGGGCCACACTAGACTGCTACCACCCTACAGGAGGCCACCAGAGACCGCCACTGCCCTACAGAAGACCACCAGGGGCTGCCACCACCCTACAGGGGGCCACCAGAGACCTCCACCACCCTACAGGAGGCCACCAGAGACCATCACCACCCTACAGGAGGCCACCAGAGACCATCACCACCCTACAGGAGGCCACCAGAGCAAAAAAATTGCCAATCACAGGTATCACAAGGCTCAGAGCTCACCGAATCGTCGAAGCCCCTGCTGTCTAATGCCAGTGGGAGCAGCGGCTTGTGTGTGCACACGGGGCCCTCACACACACATGCAAGAACTGGAGGAGGTGCAGGCAGGTACAGGAGATCTGTACAGGAGATCTGTGCTGGATCAGCTTCACTGTGCTGCAGAGGTGACTTTAGGGGTCTAATAAAGGTGCATTGTAACATGTCTATGAAGAAGTCTCTGGCAGCAAAAGGGTTAAAGCAGAATAGAAGTCTCCCGCCATTTTATTTCTCTTACAGTCCTCTAGCCCCCGTACGTTGGACGTTCCCCCCAACACCGCGAGCGCGCTCTCTTTTTCAAGACTTGTGCATGCGCAGCGCTCCTTCTGCCGCCGTAGTGGCCGAGCATTGCGAAGGAAGCACGCACATGTGCAGAGCTTGAAAGAG